AGGCAACTTACTACTATCTACAAGATGGAAGTGACAAAAGTGGTGCCAACTAAACGTATGTCCCAAACCACGATTATTTTTAGGAGTCAAGAATGGGCAAATATTCCACAATGCTATGTTTTTTTTATGAAGTTTCATATTCAAGACAAATTAAAAAACCTTTTCATTTTAGCTTAGAGAAATCCTTTAGCAGCCCGAGACAAATTAAAACCTGCCTAAGAAGTACAATGGTGATAAGTCGCCTCAATGAACTTGCAACAATAAGTGTCCATAGAAAAATTATCAATGACATCATAAAGGATTTTAATAATAAAGTAGTAGAAAAATTCACCAAAATCCAGGAATATTATGCTTTAATTAAAATAATCTTCTTAGGCTTCTTTTAAATGTAAAAAAAAAATGTTTTAATAAAGATCTTTCTTCTCCAGTACATAATAAATGATTGAAACTTTATGAATCGTTTTTATTTTACCTACATATAAATGGATAGAGGATATGAATTGTATCATCTTGCTCCCTGGAACATTGGCTGGCTACACCCTTAGTTTCACTACAAACTTTATGGCTACAAGATGGTAACAGTGTTCCCAAAGTAAAATTGTCTCATGAAGAGTGTGAGATTAAAGAATTCTTAGCCAATTCTCTGGGTTATGTGGAACAGCACATTAGGCATATATTTTCCATAGAGAAGCCAAAAAAAGGAAACAGTCTTGGGTTATCACCATTTCACCCGACTAAAGGCGGCTCCATGAAGACAGGGATATTTTATACATGAGATGGTCATCCAGAAAAGTCCACAACTTTTGTTACTACAGGCATTGTAACAAATGCCTAGCTTATACCCATCTCCAAAGCCAATGTATGTCAGAACAACATTCCCCCAAATGTTCTCAGCATCACCTCTCCAGCAAATGCAAGGTTAAAAGGGAGCACTTTAAAGTGCATCAACTGTTTAAGATATAATAAAACGAGGAAACATAAGGAGGAATGTGTAAATGTAAATCACAGTGTGAGGGATAGGTCTTTCCCAGTATACCAGTTCCACTGTGACATCAGCAGGGCCAACACTTCCCAATAATGGATATAAATATCATACAAATTAATTTAGATAGGTCATCTACTGCAACCGTGCACTCAGTATCCTTCTAATTAATCAATAATGAATTATATATATATATAAATGATTGCAGAAATAGCATTTTGTCTGATTTTGTCTTTAATATTTTGTGCCATATTGATCATTTTCAAATTTTAAGAGGAGAACAACACATCATTAATTCCAAAATTAATTGTTCTTTGTAGAAAATTTTCAAAATAAAAAAAAGAAAAAATGAGGATGCATTGACAGAGACATCATCAACATCTCAAAAAATCTCTCACATCTTGAAAATACTTAGTAGAGCATGCCGTGGATCATGATATTGACTTGCCACTTATACAGAAACCTTATGCCACCAATAAAGTTCTTGGTATTCCTGGTAGTTTTGATTGCATCCACATAAAAGTGCAATAAGCTATTGATGACTTTAATCATGACATTTCTGACTCCCTCGTTCCTGTCAGACGATTTCACCACTACAGAATTAATTCAACATATTAGCTTAAAATTCTTTCTAAATTTCACCTATCTACAACCATCAAGCAGCATCAAAGTGCAACTTTTGGCCCTTTCAAAATTAATAGGAAGCATTTAATCTTACATTTATCATCAGATTAGATAGTAATGTGCTCTCTCCTATTTCGTATGACAGTTTTCAGAATCGAGGTGATTACTTGAGTCTATTTACGATAATGATTTAATTTTACAAAATGGGCCTGGCCCCCAAACATTTTGCTCTCACCAGGGGGAAAGTTACATTGATCTCACACTATCAATAAGGAACATTGGCACTAAAATCCAAAATTGAAAAACCTTGTTAACTGAATCACTTTCATCTCAGGAATATTTAATGTTTGAATTGATCAATATAGATTTCGACAAGATCTATAGTAAAAGCCCCTTGATGTAGGTTCCTGTCCATAGTGAGGGGACCTCCCAGAGTTGGTTTAGTAAGTTCTTTACCATTCCTAGAATCTGGGACCTATTCTGAGTAGTATCTTCAAGCAAACAAATACAATAAAAACCAGTTTCTATTGGAATCAAGTAATTCGTGTTTAATAAACTGTGAAAATGCTATTCCAAATCGTACATTTCGTTTTCGGTTCTGATAACAAAATCTTAGTTATCACACTTGGCTATCAATCACTTTTGAGCTTCTGTTAGAAACATAACAAAAGTGAAAATAACATGGTGTCTTTTGGTGTAAGAATGATTTTACTTCATAAGCAATTGCAAAGAGTATTAATAAACTTTGTTGTTGTATTGCTTAAAAATAATTACCTTAACTACTGTATATCTCAGCAGATAAGACGACCTTCAGCTAAAATAAGGTATAAATTTTTGTTAAAGTTTCATACTTTTAGCATATAGCTGTCCTATAAGATGACCTCCAAACTATCAACTGCCTAAGAATTAGTTTAGATCAGCAATGATCATCTGGTTAACAACACTGTATAGCATATGTGAAATTATGTCCTATTCATAATTTTGTGAAACATCAAATTTTACTTTCTTGCATCTGGCAGCACTGCCTTGCGATTCTTGCAAGCATTCACACTGATTCATGCATTCGGATAATAACCTTCACTATTCACAAAAACATCATATAGGCTATTGTATTTTGTAGACATAGCCTACTCTCTACTAGTAAATAATTACAATTTGTCCGTTTTACTATAACAGTTTTAATTTATATAAATTTCAATCTAACTTTTTTTGTATCTGTCCAATAACTCAACCCCAAATTTTGGTACCTTTTTCTATAATTCAACTATCGTCTTATCTGCTGAGATATAGGATATTTATAATTAATTGCTTTCTTGTTAAAATTTAAATATATAGCTATAGCATTAACATTATTTCTGAAATAGGTTTCATTTGCATATGTATAAATGAAAATGATAGTTTTGAATATAAATATATGACTATCACTTACTTTTTGCCATCTTTCTGCAACTTTTTATATCACAATTCAAACAATTGGCTATTTTTTGCCACAACTTGTGCTGATCTTATATGGAAAAGGAAGCATCTAACTTCCCAGACAGTAATTCAGAGTTGTTTTCCATCAAATTAATAAACATCGCAAACTGGTGACTTCTAGTTCACTACCTTTGTCGTCTTTTCTTCAACATTTTAAAACAAAACTATTTCACTAACGCTAATACAGGACAACACTAAAACCACATACTATGCTTACAAAATCAAGAGTTGTAGTCAAGTGAAAAAATAAAATGTTGACAAAATTGTGATTGGTTAAAAAATAATAACTATTGGTAACATGGACAGGATACATCTCGACCAACTATCTGTAGCAAAACTTACTTAATGTATAGAACATAATAGTGATTTCTCTAAAGTTCATTAACTGCCTTTGGCTAAGCGAACTTATCAAATGTCCCATGCATTGCTCTCGACGAGTAATTAAAAAAGCTCAGAATAGGACCCCTAAATACCCATCCATGGGCTTGATGTGTGTAGTAACCTGTATGCCAGAAATGGTGATGCTGATAGCAGAGGGGCAACAGAACATCCAAAATTCACACACTGCTTTCACCCAAGCTTCAAATAAACAAGAGGCTCAAATCAGGCTTTATTTAAGTCAATCAACTGGTCGTTAGGTCATTCTTGACCTCGACCTGGAGTCAACTGATCGAAGCACACCAGGCAGACCTGTCAGACAAGATATGCTCTTCTTGAATGATTGGGCCTCTGGCCCAGAATCTCTGTCAAACACCCTGTCCCAAAATACTGTCTACGCCCAATCTCAAAAGCAAAGCAATCAAGCAGTATGTGTTTTATAGTAAGAGAACAGTGCATATGCAAAGCAGGGTTAATTAAAAGAGGAGTACCTCAAGCCAGTAGCATTTAATGCTACAGGTCAGTGGGAGTGCTCTACTAAAATGTAAAATAAAAAAAGTAAGAGAACAGTTGCAATACTGGCGTACTGGCTGCTCACCACCCTTCAAAAGGTATTGATGAGTCAACCAAGTATGTCCAATTCTCAAATGAGTGAAAATAACATCATATCTCCTGTCTGAGTTTCTAACATGTCCAATTTTGTATCATAATTATAAACTCATTTATCAATAGTCTGTTGTGGACTTCTGTATTTCACATTTTGCCATCTCCCTGTGAGTCGTTTTTGTCAACTAACTTCAAATCACCTCCTTCAATAGACATTGTATGCTGAGGAGGATTTGCTAACTTTACACATGCATCAGCTTGTTCATTCCCTCTTATACCCATTTGGCCTGGGACCCAACAAAATTTTACACAGAAATTACTCACAGTAAGACAGTGACAGTTTACGGATTTTAATCACTATGGAGTGAGAACTAGATTCACACAAAATCAAAGCCTGAAGTGTACTAACTGAGTCAGTGTTAATGATGCAGCGATGATGACCCTTTCTGATTACATACTTTAAGGCTAAATAAATAGCCTGCAGCTCTGCAGTGAAAATGGAAGAATTCAGTGCTATTTGTTTTGACATGATTTCATTCCAGCAGACAAAGGCTAAGCCAACGTAGTCATCCGATTTAGATCCATCAGTATAAATGGAAATTAAATTCCTGTTACGATGTTGAATTTCTGCAAAGTGCTGTCTGTAGATATAGTCTGGGATGGATTCCTTATGAAATTGCTTTAAGCCAAGGTCAATATTTATCTCAGGAGTTGACCAAGATGGTATACTATCAATCTCAGCCTGTGAAATGTTGCCCATTTCCAGGTCAATCGTGCTGGTTACATTCTCCATTCTAATGTTGAATGTAGGGACACAGCTTGGGTGAGCAACAAATAATTTTACAGCTGAGTATCATATACTATATGATAAACTGCAGAATCTGAGATTTCTGTTTAATATAATAAAACAGAGACAACTATTCTCTCCTCAAAGATGAACACTCATAAGTTTCCACATACAAACTTTGCACAGGAGAAGTTCGAAAAGCACCAGTGCACAAATGCAATGCTTCATGGTGGATTGGATCCAGCATCCAAAGAGTAGATTCTCGCGCAGAGCCATACTCAATGCATCCATAATCCAGCTTAGAGCAGCAAAGGCCCTATAAATCCTGAGCATATAAACTTTGTCTGCTCCCAAGGATAAGCAGTATAGTACCTTTTAAAGGTTTATAGTGCATTGTCCAATAATCCAGCATACTTTGTAGTACTTTGTCTATACAGATTCAACATCCTATATATAGTCAGAATATTACATATACAAAACATTTTCTACAATTTTAAAAGAATTGCTTGTTGATTTTGGTGAAAAATCAACCATGCTCCAGATACAGTTGACCCCTATAACACTGTTGATAATTCTGTTTTATATGAATTCCATGTTGTACGAGTCACTTAGGTTTTACAAATATATGTGCCAGGCTGTGAACGCTCATGTATTTGTAAAATCTAAGTGACTTGTACAACATGGAATTCATATAAAACAGTATCATCAACAGTGTTGACTGTATTTGAATATTTTTTTTATGATGAGTTTACTAAACACATCACTGATCAAATAAATGTTTGCCAAACAATGTATTCAAGAGAAGGTCATCTCTTATAAAACATAGAAGCAGAGATCAGGTATATATCAAATATAGAAAATTTATATAATTAATAAAATAGTACCTTACTTTATTGATTATAAGTGTATAGTCTTGGAACACAAAATAAATAGTGATCCCTTTTTGGGCAGTTTTTGTCTTCAATTTTTATTAAAAAATAGTAACTTATATTGTTTTTTAGGACTGGAAAGAAACCAATAGGAAGAAATCAAATTTTTTAATGCTTAATAATTTTACAGGGAATATTACAGAAACCAACCAATTCATCATTTTTCTGCAGACATTAAATTCTACAAACACCCTTTTTTTAGAGCATGACAAGAAATCAATTTTAAGTATTGAGAAAATTAGATTTTTCAAGTAATCAATGTCCATGGTGCAAAACTAAAGACTTTTCAATGGAATATCTACTTTTAGAATGTCAGAATCTATCAAATATACATGAATTCTTCAAGATGATTCCTCTCATAATTATAAGAATAAACAAAACAATATGAATAAATTAGAGGTATATAAAATATATAATTACGTTACCAAATGTATTAAAAAATTGGAATACTAAACTTACTAAATAAGCTTGAAAACTAATAATGACTAAAATAATGATCAACTAGAACATCGCTGCATAAGTATAACTGTAATAAAATGTGAAAAATAACTCGTCCTTATATGTTAAAATGTCAAATACAACAATAAGCAGATTATTACAAACAAATAATCATAGTGGATAGTCTAGCAACAGATATAATATTATGCTATAATTTTTTTTTATCAAAGCATAAAAAAAAAATGTTCATTAACTAAACTTATCAAACTAAATTAGAAAAAGGAATATTGTTTACTTTATATATTCTTGTATTATTACTACTATTAATCCTAAAAGTGAATTGTAATTTAATTCAATGTTAAAATATATCAAAGTAAAACTAAAATGTAATTAACTATATATAACTATTGTACAGTTATGAACTTTCAATAAGTAGTATTGTACTAATTTAAAATGTACTTCCCCCAGCAACAGGGAAAATTTCTTACTGCTAAATAAAGTTTGATTTGAATTTGAGTATTGAGAAAATTTTACATTTTAATAATAACTCACTTTTTGACCCAACAGCAACAACAAACGACAGTTTAAATTAAAACCTGTTTTTGACTCTTAGAAAATGACAGTCAGTGTACACTCCTGGCACAAACATGACGAAAGCTTACTATTATGGAAAGAAAAATTACAGTGGAAACTTCAAAAAAAAAACCCATTTTGGCATGGAGTCATTCCAACCTTGAGTGTCCTTGTCAGGTTACATCTACAATGTGATAATATACACAGAAAGCGACACTGATGTAAAAAAAACAGCATCCAAGGATTAGACATATCAACTCAGAACAAATCAACAAAAATGGTGTTGTCTTTCATGGATAAGTTATTTAATAAAGACCATAGGTTATTTGTAGATAACGATTATAGTTCCCTATGCATAGAACCTTTCATACAAAAGAAAATTACTGGTATATATACAGTGGTGATATTCAGCGGGTTTGCACAGGTTCGGCCGAACCCGTTGTTAACATTTTCAAACCTTGTTAATCACACGTAACATTTCTCAGTGGTTTTGCTTCTTTTAAAAAATATATTAAAATATACATATTATACTCTGTAACACTACTAAACTAGAGCCTTATACCCCGTTCGCCTTGGTGCGACCTCCCTTGACCGTTTCAATCTCGACTGAAACGAGGTTCAATCGCGGTCGACTCAAGAGAGTTCTTGAAACTAGATCCAGCATAAGAGAGATCCCACAATCCCACGCACGCGAGAAAATCCAAGATGGCTGCGGAACACGTGTCATAATAAAATACAGTAGAGCCTCGATTATCCGACCCCCAATTAACCGACCGTCCTAGTCAGTAAATTTCAAATGTCCACTAGTGATGTGGCGCTACATTATTTGGCTATGTCTTGGCTACTTTAATATTATTTTTACGTGTTTTAGCTGGCAACACTCATTCAACCATGAAAGGAAGCCAGTATTTAAACGAGGCTTAATTTTCTAATTTTTAACGATAAAATAGCGACGATTATTATTTAAAAAAATTTTGTTAGGCTTAACATCGATGAAAATTCAACACAAAGTAGGTTAATAGCGATATACTAATATACTAATTACATGGGATATAATAATATACTACAACTAATAATGGATTTTTTCATACTTTTTGGTTATCCGACTTTTCAATTATCCGACCAACCCCAGTCCCCAATTGAGTCAGATAATCGAGGCTCTACTGTATGTACAAAATAAATTATTTTGAACACACTTTTTTATTATTTATAAATGTATGTATGTATGTGTGTGTGTGTGTATATGTATATATATATATATAATTCTGGCATAAAAAATGTTAAATTTTAACTGACTTAATTTTGCAAATGCATCTTTTTTATTTATAGGGGTATCTTAAGGTCAGTTTTTGTGCTAATGTTGCTAATGCACCATTTGAGCGAAAAAAAAATTGTTAAGAAAATTTTCTGTTAGCGAACCCTTTGTTAAATATTTCGAATATCACCACTGTATATATGTATATATATATATATATATATATACACACTTTGTTCAAGTTGTTTTCTACACTTATACATATAATTTCAGAGAATACAATTCTATATGTAAATTTAACAAGTGCAGAATTCAAGGATAAGTATTTCTACGAAATGTATTGTTTCCACAAAAGCATTGAAAAGCATAAGACTCTTGTCTACTGCTATATTTCTTTCTGGGATATAAAAATATGCCAATTTTGTATTTAAATTTATTACTATTGGCCAAATTTAGTTTTGAATTTTAGTGGGTTGTTGGATTATAGGTGTCATTATTGTTGAAATTAAATTTTTCTTTATTTGTAAAAATCTATTTTTTGATATCAATTAACTAAAAGTTTCCACGAGAAATGTTTCATTAATGGATGAATACTTCCTCTCATTTAGTTTATACAGAATTCCCCTAATTACACATGGTCAGAAATAGATAAATATTTTCTATTGTAATGAGTACAGACGTCTTGCTTGCTTCCATCCATACCTTCTTGGGGGGCATTACGGCTTTTATCTCCTCGAGAAGAGTGCTGAAAAATGTAGATTTAAAAAAGCTGCCCCCTGGTGACAACACATTGCAGAACTTTCATTTGTAAATTTTCATTCAAATGGTAATTATATTATTAGTTTCTGAAGACAAAGTCTGCCCAAAAACTTTTATCTTCAGAAACTAATAATATAATTATCATTCGGACGAAAATTTACAAATACAAATAAGTAATATTAGATTAATTATTAAATGTAATATGAGATGGCACCTAACGACTCCCTCTTTGGTCAAATTTATGAATAATTTACAATTATTGTAGCTGATATTTAGCCCAAAATCATATGGCAGTTGTTGTAGCTTTATATTTTATTTTTTATATTATGTAATTATGATAATGTTGTAGGCATATACAGACATAATTACAAAACATAATAAATAAAAATAAAATCGAAGTTAAAAATTTACTGCAGTATGGTATATATTGAAATACAGTACTGCACATAACCCAATGTGCAGTAGTGTTTCTTTCCTATGTATTTCCCTATCTTGTCATGTATTTTGCAACATACAGCACAGCATGTAGTGGGAGCTGCTGTTTTATCTATTGGCAGAACAAAGTCCTGAAAATGTCTTTCTGTAAGTCTAAGTGCACCTAGTGTTCTCGGCACACCTTGTTTCCTTATCCTCGTTTTAGTGTATTACTCCTCTAATAGCTGTTCAGTAAGTTTCATTCTAAAAGATAAATTTTCCCTTTTGCCACCATTTTTCTTATACAACAAATGTATTGTACAAATATCTACTAAATTAAAAAAAAATACTTTTTTTTTTATTCTTTACTTCACAACTGGGTGCATAAGTAGACACTGGGCATCTTTAAAATTATTCTTTATTTAAGAATATCTTATACTGATACTTGTTTTGGTGTGTAAGATACGATATTCCTAAATAAAGAATGATGTTAAAGATGCCCAGTGTCTACCTATGCACCCAGTTGTGAAGTAAAGAATAAAAGACATGGATTCGGAATAAAAATATTTTCTATATTATTTCTTCCCCTCTTCTCACCACGTTGTATCATTGTAGTCAATAACCTACGGCTTCATTTCTACTCTATCATCATGCATTTCTTTTCTTACTTGTACTCTCTACAATCCACAATCCTGTAAAATAACAGGTTCATTTTAAATTCATTACTTTACCTCTCTGTATTGCTACTGTCCAACATTCTCTCTAAGCTGCACAGCTACATGAGAATTATGTGCTGTGCAGGCAAGCATGCACACTGATTTGACTGTTGTTTACTGAATTCTCACTCCATCTGCTACTTCATTATTGATATATATATTTCAAATAAATACATTAAATCATTGATAAAAGATAATATTTCGTATGGAAGTATGTTTTAAATGTGAGTACAGTCGACCCCCCTATAAGATAGAGATACGTTCCATTCTCTAGGAATCCGCTTTCTTACGAATCCTTCCAATCACAACCCGACACGTGTCAAGTTTACGGACTACGGCTGTTTGAAAGATTTTCTTCCATAAAATTAATCGATTCTAGACTAATCCGACTCAACATTTCCAAAATACGTATATATTTTTTGGGAATAATCCGTATAAACTACGCTATAAACAAAAAATTGTAGGATTACTTACCGAGTGTCACCATTCGACATTGCCATTGCTCAACATTGTTTTCGTCGCGGAACAGCTCAGCAAAGAGCGGCCGATTTCTAACAACTTATTTTTCTGTGAAAACTTCGTTGAACTTCGGAGACATCATTAATATAAATAATTTTAATCGCCGTTGAATAAGAAATGTTTCTTTCACAAGAAATGTATAAAATTACAGTACTGTATTAGACTTACGGTACCTAATTTACATACTGACAGACGATAGTTAGCGTAAAAATCTCCGTAGCGTGGCGCCACGCTAGACGGCGGAAATTATATATTTAATTATAACAAAGTTACAATAAGTTAATATATAATTATATATACAGTACCTAATTTATATATAATTAATATATAATTATATGTACAGTACCTAATTTATATATAATTTATATAATACTGTCCAGACGATAGAAATCTCTCCGTAGCGTGGCGCTACGGACGGCGGGAAAGTAGTTCGGCTTCCCGATGACGTTTGAGGTGTTTCTAGGAAACTTTTACTATTTTTTACGGATACCGGTAGCAATTTTTTCGTAGTTTTATAGGAATCGTAACTATAGGGACCGTAATTATAGGGGGGTCGACTGTAATGGTTTTCATTTACTAAACAGTAATGTGATTAATTTATCATGTTAAGAAATTTCATTTCTTTTAGTGTCAACCATCAAACTATCAATTCACTTCTCACATATGTGAATATGTTACTAAACGAACGACAAATCCACAGTAACAAATGGCATTAACTTAATGATGTTTTAAATGGTCTAGCATCTCTTTGTAAATTTTTACAACAAAGTTGTCTAACTACAGCTGAAGCATTTGACTATGTTAGGAAAAACTTAATAAATTAAAATCACAGTTCCTTGGAAACATAATTTATTGGAGTGAAAAAGTAAAAATGTTGGATATGTTGTTGTTACTGCATCTATTATTCATTTATTGAATGTGTATGTAATATTTAAACAACAGATTTCCCGATGATAAGTTTAAAAAGTGGCAAGCATTTAACCTTAATGCCATTTCAAATGCAGCAAGTTTTGAATTTGGAAAATGAGAATGTCAAGTAATCGATTAGAAAAGATTCAATAATTTTAAATGTCAATAACAATGAAAGTGCTGTCTCAAAAATATTATAATAATATCGTAATTTTAAATTTCATTATATCTGAAAAATTATTCAATTAAAACATTCACTAATGTGCTAAATTATGTATGTAATGATGATGAGTTTAAAGATCTAGCAGTTCTTATCAATATCACTGAAATATTTCAAGAATTTAGTGGACTGTGAACATGGATTTAGTGTTATGAATTCAATTAAGCGTAATATCAGAAATACACTTAAATTTGAGCATTTATGTGATTTAATAAAAATTTGAATGCATCTTTCCTCTGCAGAGGAAATGAATCTTCAATCTGTCTACAAATACTGGATTTCAAAGAAAGATAAGCGTGAAAATACTCATAAAAATTAAAATATTTCTTTGTGACTGTTGTGTGACTAAATAATTTACATTAATAAAAGTTTTTTATAATGAAATGAATTTTAATCTGCACTTCATAATTAATTATTTTAGTTTTTAAAAAAAAATCATAGGATTGTCTATAGGATTGCTCAGAAAAGCGTGTGTGCACAGAAAAGTACGTGTTCTGCTCAGCTACAAAAAAAATTAGAGGGAACGTTGCCACTGTCTCTCCCTTTTCCAATTTTTTCCATGAAAGACGACCCTTGAAAAGCAAAAGACTCTTGTCTATTGCTATATTTCTTTCTGGGATACGAAGACATGAAAATTTTGTATTTAAATTTATTACTATTGGTCAAATTTTATTTAAGTTCAAATTGGAATGGATTGTCGAATCATCTGTCATTATTGCTGTAATGTAAATCTTTCTTTATTTGTAAGGATCTGTTTTTTGACATCAATTTACTAAAAACTGGCATGAGAAATATTTCATTCGTGGACAGATACATCCCCCATCCAGTTTATAGAGAACTCCCTGAATAATACAAATAGTCAGAAATAGATAAATATTTTCTGTTGTAGCAAGTTGCCACTGATTTTTGAATGTTTGCGGATGTTGCATCGCAAAACGATTACGTTTCTGTGACATTATTATTCACTAACTCGATCAGTAAATAATCTAAAATATTCCAATGGATCAAAATTATTATTTAAAGTAAAACAACATCCAGGATGTCCTGGAAAAAAACACAAAGGAAGAGGATGATGATTTTCTGTACTTATCTGGCACCATCCTCTTGCACAAGCAATATTTCCATCAAAACTGTCACTAGATTTTACTTTGCTACCTGTTGTAAAACTATCCACAGATCCACTCTGATAAATTTGGAAATTCAAATTTGGTTATCTAAAAGTTTGATCTTTAATTTTATGCAAAAGAAAACAATGAGGTAATACTCTCTGAAAAAATATATTATAATTATTTACTTACTTGATGAACAGAGAAGTAAATTATTTATAAAATATTTTTGCTGAAGAAATATCCACTGTACTGTACATTTTGGTACACTTTGAACTTAGCTCGTTGCAATACACTCAAAAGAAAATACTTGAATATATCATATTATTCTTCATCTTTGGGCTATTTTCATATGTGGAACCAGAAAAAAAAAGTCCAAAAACAAAAACTTCTATTGGGTATAGTTACAAAACTTGTTGAGGTCACAAAAATAGGGGTTTAAATGCACTAAAAGAACTGACTGAGTATGATTAATACGTTGAGATTTTTTTTGGAAAATATCATCATCAGAAATCAAAAAGTGGTATTTAAAATTTAACATTATGTAGGCTAAGTGCTAATAACTATTAATTTTATATTATATTCACAATTTTTGGCATAATCTGATAAATCACCATTATATAATTTTGTAATGCTCAATGGGCTGCAAAATTACTTAAATTTAATTATTTTTTTATTTTACACAAAAGAAAATAATGAAATAATTATATCTTTCCTCGAGATTATTATTATTCACTTACTTGATAGTGGGAACTCATTACAATAGAAAATATTTATCTATTTCTGACCATGTGTAATTAGGGGAATTCTGTATAAACTAAATGAGAGGAAGTATTCATCCATTAATGAAACATTTCTCGTGGAAACTTTTAGTTAATTGATATCAAAAAATAGATTTTTACAAATAAAGAAAAATTTAATTTCAACAATAATGACACCTATAATCCAACAACCCACTAAAATTCAAAACTAAATTTGGCCAATAGTAATAAATTTAAATACAAAATTGGCATATTTTTATATCCCAGAAAGAAATATAGCAGTAGACAAGAGTCTTATGCTTTTCAATGCTTTTGTGGAAACAATACATTCCTCTCAAACGGTCTCGTTTTGGTGTGAAAATCTATGTTATGTGAATCTACATCCAGATACCGGTACAATTTTATTATTTATATTGGAAGAGGTACTCATTTCATTAACCCTTTCGATCACCTGAAAGCAGATCTGCTTTGTAACTGGTACTGGCTTTAAAACAGAAAAAAATAAATTTCTTAGCCTACCAGTCACGTTGAAGCAAATTTGTAGACCAATCAGAATGTTCCTTTAGAATGATTGCAAAGTCCCGTGTGATCAGATGAAAATTGGTTTTTATTGTGTCAGCATATAATATGGTAAGTTTTGAAAATTTACAGTTATAAATATATTTTTAACTCATAAAAAGCATTGATTATAATTCCTAAATACCTGTAAAATATAGATAAATACATTTTTGATTCATTACAAAAATATATTTAGAAAAAAAGCTGTTCTTACAAATTGAAGCAAATTTGCATCATTGTAACTCACCGGTTGCCTTTTGAAAAATAAATACCTGAACATATACCTACTTTATTTAAGTTATATCCTGTTTCTTTTTAGATTAAGATTCATTATCACTTGCCAATATCAGAAAGGATTAACACAATTCAATATTGAACAGCTTGTCAATGCTAAAGACTTTGGAATTCATTCCGATACTGAGGGATTATCTAATGATGATGATATTGCTACTGACGCTATTGAATTTGTTTTAACCGGAGCTGAAGTAGATATAAATTCTGAGATACTGGAAGAACATGAACATGATCATGAAGATGAGCATTTCCCTCCAGTACCTAATGCAAAACAAGCCAAAACAAAATGGCATAAAACTGATAAATTCCTTGATATTCATCCAGAAAATGTTGTTCATGTGCCTCCTACTCAGCCTATCAATCCTTATCAATTTTATCAAATTTATTCCAAATTCAGGAAACTTGAATAAATTTAAGTGTTCTTGTATATTTTCTTTTATCTACTTTTTTCCATGTAGAAATGAATAATTTTGTAACAATAAGTCACAATGATGCAAATTTGCATCATATAATTTCAGAACAGAATAACGATTTATTCTGATATTTGCAAAATTGCTTAATCAATACGTATTTACTTAAAAAATTACGGAAAAAACAAAATCAACTGGGAAAAAAAAATTCATGATCAAAAGGATTAAAGTATTGATATTTTCACTTCAGTAAATAATTCAAAAAATGAAACATGACTAAACAGAAAAATGTAAATGAATTTACTGTTATGAAAATAAGTTATAATAAATAGAAATGAAATGTAATGCTATAAAATTGAACATATCATAATTACAAATATAAATAACCTTATGAAACCCAATACACTTTAAGCTACAACTGCCGTATGACATTGGGCTAAATATTGGCTATAATAAATATATATTACTGATAAATTTGACCAAAGAGGGAAGCTTTACCCACCATCTTGTATTTATTAAATGTAATATGAGATGATGCCTATCATCTCCCTCTTTGGTCAAATTTATCAGTAATTTATGATTATTATATCCAATATTTAGTCCAATGTCATACGGCAGTTGTAAAGCAATTCCTGCATCGTACGTCGTAAAGTAAAAAAGAGTTTAGCTTTTTTCCATTTTGAATGAATGCAGTTAAAGTGGTTTGATCTAGTTCAAATATTAAAACTACTTTAAATTTTAAATCTTCATATTATTCATTATTCATGTAAACGTTTGAACTTAATGTTTATGCATAAGATCCTTCAAGAAAAAAGAATGGAAAAAGGAAAAAATGGTGATGTGACTTTTCCCGATGAATGTTTATACCGTTCTCTTCAATTAAATCATTCAATAGACAAACATCGATGCAAAGTCTGCCAAAAGGGATTCGTAAATGAATATGCTTTACTAGAACACGTGAACAATATTCACTCAGAATCAAAACCTTATGTTCATAAACAATGCTCTAAAGATCTTACAAGTAAAGAAAAACTATTGAAGAACATCGAATCACGAACATTTAGCATTCCTCACTCAATTCATTCAAGAAAAATCGACGCAAGCAAGTACTCCGACACGGAACGTGGATCAACCATGAGTAAAAGCATTTCCGTAAACTTGACACATGCGGGAACTAAAAATGAAAGTGAATTCATCGATTCGATACATGCAAGAACAATGGATGAAAGCGGGTCTCTCGGCTCGATACATGAAGGAAGAATAGATGAAAGTAAGTTTTTAAACTCAAAACGTGCAGGATCCATTGATGCACGCAACACATTTTTTAATCGTTTGTTTTTTTGTTGTTTATCTTTGTATGGTTGCGCCGAGATGTAAATCGCTTCAAATAAAAAAAAAAAGTAAAAACGAATGTTAGAATAATCACTGCCTTTTCTGTATTTATTTCTTTAATCCCCCCACGGGGGAATTTCCAAATATTCCTTCGTGGGGGAAGGATTAAGGCTTAACCTGAAGAACGGCTTCTACTGTACTATTTTAAATGCAATTTTTTGTTTTTATAGTAACAACTAATGATTGATGATCTTAGTGAAGTACCAAGGGAGGATTATTTCTATCAAAGTGCAAATTCCACATATGTGAAGCCATGGGTAACAGCTAGTTATTACATAATATACAATATATAATAAAACTGAAGTTAAAAATTTACTACAGCATGATATTTTAAAACACTGTACTGCACATAACCCAATGTGCAGTACAGTGTTTCTTTCCTATGTATTTCCCTATCTAGTCATGTATTTTACAACATACAGCACAGCATCTAGTGGGAGCTGCTTTTTTATCAGTTGGCAGAACAAAATCCAAAAAATGTCTTTCCATAAGTCTAAGTGCATCTGGTGTTCTCAGCACACCTTGTTTCCTTACCCTCGTTTCGGTGTGGTATGTCTCTATTAGCTGTTCAATAAGTTTCATTCTAAAAGATAAATTTTCCCTTTTGTCACCATTTTTATTATACAACAAATGCATTAAACAATCAAATATCTACTACATGAAAAAATATTTTTTATTCTTTACTTCACAACTAAGTGCATAGGTAGATGCTCAGCATCTTTAGCATTATTCTTTCTTTAGAAATATCTTGCACACTGTTACACATTTCAGGCATACACCCCTCTTCTGTTGGATCTTTCTTTAAAACATTTAGTAAAAAGGTATTAACTAATATATGTATTTCAAAAATGGATGTGTATTAATTAGCACTTCATTACTAAATGACAAAGAAAAAGCCGACAGAAGAGGAATGTGTGTCTGAAACACACACAAGTGTGTATGGTATTCCTAAAAAAAGCATGTTAAAGATGCCCAGTGTCTACCTATGTACCTAGTTATGAATTAAAAGACAACACTTTTTTAGAATAAGTCATTGGTGCACAAAAATAGTGGCACAACTCAAAAAAAATAGTTCTTTCAAGAACAGCCACTTAAAAGTTTTTTATTTCTGCAAGGCTTTGTCATGATCTTCGATTTTTAAAATTTTCAAATCTTTATTTCCAAAAATAATTAAAAATTTTAAAAATCCAAGATCATGACAAAGCCTTGCAGAAATAAACTTTTAAGTGGCTGTTCTTAGAAGAACTATTTTTTTGAGTTGTGTAACTATTCTTGTGCACCAACGAAGTCAGAAATATTTTTGATAATATTTCTTCCCCTTTTTTCTTGCCACCGAATAATCATGGAGATGTTTATCTAAATGGTCAACACCTCCCATTGTATTGTTGTAGTCAATAACCTGTGGCTTCATTTCTACACTACTATTATGCAATTTTTTCACTTTTACAGGATTGTGGATTGTAGAGAGTAACAGGTCTCTCATCCTGCCAATTTTAAGATCATTACTTTACTTCTCTGCATTGCCACTCTCTCTCTCTCTCTCTCCCTTTTTCAATTTTTTGTTATGAATTATATCTGGACCCTCTCTTTTGTTGGTACATAGTAATCCATAAAGATCTATTTGACACAATGTCAGATAATCTGCTAACTGTGGAGAAGTACAATAATTACCCATTGTTAGACAGTATCCTTTGCCTAAGAATGACACAATTTGGGATGTTAGTGGCATTTGTTGGTATTTTTCATTTAAGTAGCACTGTGTTAAAATACAAATTTTCATAGTTTGTGCTTTCCCATTTTTATACTCTGCAAGCACTGCAGTCAGAGAGATTCACTTGTAACTGATTAAGCATAAGAATTAAAGTCAAAATGAATAAAATAAACCTACTGTATATATAGGTACAAAAGTAATGTTATAGAACCCTTTCCCTTTTAACTCAAACATGAAAAATAATACTAGTAAAGTTTCATAGTCACACAAAACTCTGGCCCTAGTGCCACTGAGAAGTTTATTTCATTTTACTTTTGTCTATATAAAACAGTAATTTTAAACCTTTTTTTGTTATGGTACACTTTTAATAATTTTAAAATTTGGCAGAACGTACGGTTACTTTGGTAAGTACTGCAGGACAACCGGTGATGTCATAATAGTGATTTTTAAATGCAGCAGTTATTTAGGTCACGTTTTCTAAGTGCCTTGGTAACTACCAGCAGTTTCCCATAACACTGGTTACAATTTCCAAATGCATCCTACAAAGGTAGAACTGATTGAATTACTTGTCTGACCTTCCTTACATACGGGTATTTGCAGTGGTAGCACATTTCAAAAATCTCGCAGCACAGTGGTTAAGAATCACAGATATAAAACAACAAACAGAAAACATCTTACTAATGAGAATAATTCTATTATGATATAGATTATCATGATAAATATTAGTCATGTAAATAAATTTAATATAACTCAATTTTGGTTGACATGTACAGGAAAAAGGAGAGTAAGCCATTTAATAGCAGAATAGAATTATTAGTTATTAAGAATCGAAGAATGGGATGGAGGATTTACAGCAGCAGATAGATTGACAATGGGTGTAAACTATTTTAAAGTGTTTTCTAAGAGAAGAGCACATACCAATAACATTCCATTTGCCAGCATCTACATGTAAGAACAGCAACTGGTAGTTCATTGTATCCACTGATGAGGCTTGACTGCATGAAAGCAAAATGCATTTAGATTGTATGAACTTATTGAAAAATGGAGCTATTGGCAATAAAGGTTTAGTATCCCTTTGTTAGTTGTTTATCTGCTTAACTGAATCTCTCAAAGTCAGATAAGAAAAAGTAATTTTACATGTTTTAGTCTGGAAATAATCTTGTATTTATTTTTAGAATTTACAAATTTTTAAGAATTATTTGTTATTTTTTCAATTTATCATATTGTTAACTATTAATGTTAATCCATGTTTAGAACAGAATGTTCTAAAATGCTCCTTGTAACTTTTTGGCAATCATTATAAAATTATATAGTAATATGAAATCAAAAAATTTTTATAATCATTGGCCAAAGCTTACATTCATACAGATAAAGAATAATTGTAATATTAAATTAAACAATTCATGAAAGCTTATTATTGTAATAAGACGATTCCCCGAGGTCCATTTTTGAATTAATAAATTCATATTTGTTTCATTTAGAAAAGAATAAACAAATGCTTTTACAGTCCTATATCATAAGTTGAAAGCTTCTTTTATAGATGAAAAAATACTTTACAACAGTTGGGATAATTGCCCTGAAGATTAGTGAAATTGGCATTATTTAAATTTAGCACAAAGCTTTTACAGTCATTAAAGAGAAATCTTACATTTCAGACTTAAACTTTTTCCAATCATCAAATAAATGACTTCCAAACACATTTTAATATTTTTAGACATTATTTCCAAAATTTCAAAATATTTTGAAGTTTAATCCTACACAGAGTTGAAACAATAATTTTGCCATATTATGTTTAGAGATTCAACACTGCAGGGATAATCAGTATATAATCTATCCCCAACTTATTACAATTCAATGCTATTTCTCAAACAAGTTGCAAATATTACTTTGACTATATTAAAATAAACTTCCAAATATTGTAATGTTCACAATATATGTATTCAGTGTAATTATTACTTCACTCCTATGCTTTACTACTAAAGAAATGCGAATTGTTTTTACACATCTGCACCAATTTCGACAAAATTCAGCACCCAAAACTCCTTTAAGGGCAACTTCCAAATATTACAATTCTTTCCTGAGATGATCTACTCCATTCTGCATTCATATATCATTTCAGCTAAAAAGTAAACATTTCCCTGCACCTAACTGTGCATGTGTAATATATATTTATATAACTTCTATTGTTATATATATAAAAAATAGCAATAAGTTATCAATTAACTATAATTCTGGGAAATGTAATTCTAGCTTTCTTTTCTCAATACAAGCAGTTCCGTTCTCTCTGAACACTGGTAGTTCAGTTGTTGGTTTGTGCCTCATCAGGATGGGTTGGCTACAAAGTTTTCCACATTTTCTCCACCTAAATAGGAGCCAGTTATTCTTAAAAGACCTCCTCGAAGGCACATCCTACACAGATTGCCCAAGTGTTGCATTGCCATAACTTAACAAAACAAACTATTCTCAATAATTCTACAAAAGTAGAGTATTCCTTTAACACAAGGCCTCTTTGCACTGTAAACTGATTTTAATGAGAAAAAATTTTCTATGGGAATTGTCTTCTCCCAACATAGAAGACAGATACTCCCTTAGTCTGACTCAACTAAAACCTTTCTGATATAGTAGAGTAGGCTGTCTCAGCTTTACCAAAATCCACAGGTTGAAATTATACTGTTTTATTAACACATTTTTCTTTTTCATATGTATATCAGACTGACTTAATTTCAGTTCCTCAATGGATGTTGTTAAAAATGCTAAAATATAGGCTACTCATATATATTCTTTTGTACAATTATTGAGAAATAAAAAATAATAATAAAAGTTTTAGATATAAGGGTGGATGAATAAATAACTAGACAAAAACAACAGCAAACTAATTGCCCCAGCTGGTTATTTATTGATCTGCACTTATTAGAATAAAATTTAATTTATTAAATAAATTAATACAAGTTTTTAAAATCAAATACACTTTTGTTAATTATTTAATTAATAAAATGATATGTCTAGATTCTTACCAGGCTATAAAATGATCTGAGAAGAATTCAGATGCATCATTTAATTATTAATTAACATATAAAACAAACCTGATATACTGTGTGTAATTATTAACTATTTAAAACTTAGTTTATATTTTTATCAGTTATAACTAGATAAATATTTCTTCATTA